AGATGAGCGGATTATTAATGCAGTGCGACTCAGATAAGGGAAAGTTACTCAAAATTATTCATATTCTTACTTTGTTGCTCTGTCAGTCTCATGCAGACTCGTTGCCATAACATCAGACATCGCTGCTGTATCATGATCCGACAACAAAAAAACATATAAACATGAAGTCCATTACAACAGCTTTGAGTTCACTAGCAACCCATCAGAACCGCCTCATTACTCTAACACACAACGAGAAATCTGATCAATAACAAATGATTGATAATGCAAAACAAAAAATTCCCCATTTTCTAGGATGATCTGAAAGTTTTCAGTTTTCATCAAGATGGCCGATTCCTTTTCTGTTTTCTTTGCATGTGTTCCTCTCTGCTCTCCACCTGGACAAACGCTTTTCTTTTCATCTCCTGCTGGTTCTAACAGGTTGAGGCTCAGTTGCAGTAAATTTGCTCCTCATGTTTTTAACATCTAAAATCTGCAGTTTCCGTTCCGGCCTGCAGGGGGCAGCAGCGGCCGCTTGTGGAGCATAAAGCGGAACTCTTGTGTTTGCCGTGTTTCCTTCGGACGGCTGATCAGAGGACCGTGATGCAGTGCGGCTGGCTTCATTCAGGTCCGCGGCTGTGGCTGCGGTGCGTCCACAGGCAGGTGATGGTGACGGCGGGAAAGCGGCGGGAGGAGCACCGCGGCTGGCTGCTGACCGTGGACCCGGTCTCCCACAGGTGAGACACGTGATCAGACTTCACGCCCCACAGACCTGGTGGTTCTGATCCGGTTCTGGTTCTGTTCTGTCGCCAGTGTGGCTCTGGTGAGCTTCGGGGAGGACGGTGCGTCGGTCCGGGTGGTTCTGGGTCACGCCGTGCAACACGTCGAGGTTCTGGAGGAACCGGACCCGGACACGGAGGAGCGGCTCCGCTCTCTCCTCCCGCCTCCGGAGGCCGGTGGCCCGGATCCAGACGAGCGACGCCGGAGGAGGTCCGGAGTCCGCCGCTGGCTCCAACAGAACCGGGTTCCGGTGGAGGAGGACGGGAACGATCTTCGGGTCGCCCGTGTTCTGACCATCCGGGCCCCATATCGACCCGACGACTGCAGCAGCGCAACCAGATCATCCTGGACCGGGTCCAGAGACTGCTTCGGGTCCAGCCCGACCAGGTTCCAGATTCTGAACTGGTTCTGGAGACCGCTCCGGGTCCAACGGACCCGTTCCACCTGGAACCAGGACGGATTATAAAGGGCATTGAGACGGATCCAGAGCGGTTCTGGTTCAGTCTGGATCCATTCCTCTTTAACGGCTGTAGATGAGCCGTCTGGTACCAAACGGGGTTCTGGAAATGGGCCCCGCAGTGCCTGGCTCTTTAAATCGGAGGCACCGAAGTCCCGCCCCTTCCTGCTGGTTTCCCCCAATCAGCTGATCAAGAATCAGTTCAGTTTGAATCCTTTCAAACCAAACTGACTTTCCGTTCTGGTTGTGTTTCTCTGGACCTCCTGTTTAAAGTTCTGCAGAACCGGGTCACGGACAATGCGGACCCGATTGAGCCAATAAATCAGATTCTACCATTAATCCGAGTTTCTCGTTTTCCTATGACAATAAAATCTCCTTACAGCGCCCCCTGCGGGCAACACCAGTCTGAGTGTTCAACATCCAACCACACGACATCCAACCACACGACATCCAACCACAAGACATCCAACCACAAGACAACCAACCACAAGACATCCAACCACACGACATCCAACCACAAGACATCCAACCACAAGACATCCAACCACAAGACATCCAACCACAAGACAATCAACCACGCGACATCCAACCAGGTCCTTCCTCTCATTTGGAACAGAACTCCTGTCTGACAAGCAGCAGAACCAGGAGGCGGCAGGACGGGTTCAAACCGGAAGCTTGTGGAATTGGTTCTGTCAGGTTTGGCTGTGGAAACAGGACAGGTCAGCATGAAAAACCACCAAAGACCCGGACCTGATGGCAAACGTACCTGAACCCTAAGACGCACCTGAGCAGGTGAGTCGGTCTGAGCATGCTCAGTGGGACCATGGCGGTAAATAACGAGCAGCGCCGAGTCAGAGGCAGAAACATTTATTCCCTTTGTTTACAACAACAACAACAAACAAAAAGAAACCGGAACCAGCATCAGTACCTCAGTTTCTGGACCACAGGTCCCACAGCCACTTAAGCCTCTGGTCCAATCAGTTCTCAACACATCCGACTGGTTCTGATCCGGATCCCACAGCTCCCAGACGAGGCCCAAAAATGAAATGACCTCCAACAAACTTCCAGGACTGGATCCAGGTTCAGCTTGTTTCTGACGGGTCAGAACCTTCTCTTGGGCCAAGCCTTTGCCCATCCAATCAGCTATAGTGTTTCCAGCTCCGCCTCTTTCACAAGATGTCCAACCGCAGAGCAGGGGGCGTGTCCAGCAGGGGGCACGTTGCTCACAGACTCCCTCTTGTACGTCTTGGGGGGCAGTTTGGGGACGCTGTGGCGCGGTGGCACTGGGGGGCCATCTAGAGGCGGGGAGGGGAAAGGCATCTTCCTTCCTGTGGGGGTGAGCGGTGGTGAGGAAGTCAAGGGTGTGGGGGCGGAGCTCAGAGACGAAGAGGAGGAGGAGGAGGGGAAGAAAGCCTGGGACAAGACTTCGCAGCGAGAGCGCCCCTGTGGGGGAGGCAGGAGGTGCAGGGGGGAACTGAGTGGCTCTCGGGGAGGCAGCAAGGGGGGGCTGTCTGGGGGAGAAGAGGACATGGACGCATAACGAGGGGGGAGGAGCTTACAGGTGGGCTGGCGAGGAGGCACAGCGGGGGGCTCTCCAACACTGACTGGACCTGTAGAGGGGCGGTCAAGGGGAAAGGGGAGGGGCAGAAACAGGATGTTTACCGGTGGTGTTGCTAACTAATTGTGTGACTTGCTGACTAGTTGTGTGTCTGGTTGTGTGACTGGTTGTGTGACTAGTCGTGTGACTAGTTGTGACTAGTTGTGTGTCTGGTTGTGTGACTAGTCGTGTGACTAGTCGTGTGTCTGGTTGTGTGACTAGTCATGTGACTAGTTGTGTGACTAGTTGTGTGTCTGGTTGTGTGACTAGTCGTGTGACTAGTCGTGTGTCTGGTTGTGTGACTAGTCGTGTGACTAGTTGTGTGACTAGTTGTGTGTCTGGTTGTGTGACTAGTTGTGTGACTAGTTGTGTGTCTGGTTGTGTGACTAGTTGTGTGACTAGTTGTGTGACTAGTCGTGTGACTAGTTGTGTGACTAGTTGTGTGACTGGTTGTGTGACTGGTTGTGTGACTAGTTGTGTGACTAGTTGTGTGACTAGTTGTGTGTCTGGTTGTGTGACTAGTCGTGTGACTAGTCGTGTGTCTGGTTGTGTGACTAGTCGTGTGACTAGTTGTGTGACTAGTTGTGTGACTGGTTGTGTGACTGGTTGTGTGACTAGTTGTGTGACTAGTCGTGTGACTAGTTGTGTGTCTGGTTGTGTGACTAGTCGTGTGACTAGTCGTGTGACTAGTTGTGTGACTAGTTGTGTGACTGGTTGTGTGACTAGTTGTGTGACTAGTCGTGTGACTAGTTGTGTGTCTGGTTGTGTGACTAGTCGTGTGACTAGTTGTGTGACTAGTTGTGTGACTGGTTGTGTGACTAGTTGTGTGACTAGTCGTGTGACTAGTTGTGTGACTAGTTGTGTGACTAGTCGTGTGACTAGTTGTGTGACTAGTTGTGTGACTAGTTGTGTGACTAGTTGTGTGTCTGGTTGTGTGACTAGTTGTGTGACTAGTTGTGTGTCTGGTTGTGTGACTAGTTGTGTGACTAGTTGTGTGTCTGGTTGTGTGACTAGTTGTGTGACTAGTTGTGTGACTAGTCGTGTGACTAGTTGTGTGACTAGTTGTGTGACTGGTTGTGTGACTAGTTGTGTGACTAGTTGTGTGACTGGTTGTGTGACTAGTTGTGTGACTAGTTGTGTGACTGGTTGTGTGACTAGTTGTGTGACTAGTTGTGTGACTGGTTGTGTGACTAGTTGTGTGACTAGTCGTGTGACTAGTTGTGTGACTAGTTGTGTGACTGGTTGTGTGACTAGTCATGTGACTAGTTGTGTGACTGGTTGTGTGACTAGTTGTGTGACTAGTTGTGTGACTAGTTGTGTGACTGGTTGTGTGACTAGTCATGTGACTAGTTGTGTGACTGGTTGTGTGACTAGTCGTGTGACTAGTTGTGTGACTAGTTGTGTGACTAGTCGTGTGTCTGGTTGTGTGACTAGTCGTGTGACTAGTTGTGTGACTAGTTGTGTGACTGGTTGTGTGACTAGTTGTGTGACTAGTTGTGTGTCTGGTTGTGTGACTAGTTGTGTGACTAGTCGTGTGACTAGTTGTGTGACTAGTTTTGTGTCTGGTTGTGTGACTAGTTGTGTGACTAGTTGTGTGACTAGTTGTGTGGTTAGTTGTGTGACTAGTTTTGTGTCTGGTTGTGTGACTAGTTGTGTGACTAGTTGTGTGACTAGTTGTGTGGTTAGTTGTGTGTCTGGTCGTGTTGCCGACTAGTCGTGTGACTAGTTGTGTGACTAGTTGTGTGGTTAGTTGTGTGTCTGGTCGTGTTGCCGACTAGTCGTGTGACTAGTTGTGTGACTAGTTGTGTGGTTAGTTGTGTGTCTGGTCGTGTTGCCGACTAGTCGTGTGACTAGTTGTGTGACTAGTTGTGTGGTTAGTTGTGTGTCTGGTTGTGTTGCCGACTAGTCGTGTTGCCGGTACCTTGGAGGGGGAGGTCTCAGAAGGAGCCGATTCGGGTCGTCTGCGCGGCGGAACCGGAGGGGGGACGGCAGTGTCCTCTGAAGTCCGACTGAAGCTCACCATCGAAGAGACGGAGGACGACCCTGAGACGAGATGGGTCAGAACCGGTTAAACATCCAGAACATTTGGTAGGCTGGGAAGAACACAGACCGGGTTTCTAGGAGAGAATGGGTTCAATGAGTCTGAGATGAAGGAACAATTTACAGGAAACTATACAACAGTCTGGTTCCGTAACCAGCAGGTAGACTGGTTTTAGTTTGGGTTTCTATCCGGTAAACTGGTTCTAATCCATGACTGGACTGGAACCTGGAGAACCGGGTCAGGGCAGGTTATGTCCCAATGGAACCTGCAGGCTAATGCTCCAGTAGTTGTGTTTCCTTCCAACACAGTCAGAGGATGGGTTGATGCTTTCCATGGAGACAGGTGTTGATTAGGTGAGACGGGTCAGTGCTGGGTGGGTCCATGACGGATCGTCAGCAGAACCAATGGCCCAATTATTCCAGGATCTGAAGAGATTCTGACGGTTCTTAAGTTGAAGCAGCAGAGATGAGTCGGGTTCGGAAAACGTTTCCATGTCGTTTCATTCAGTGCCAGGCCCAAATATTCATACACCCTACAGAACCCGGATGCGGACCCAAAGTTCCCGCCCAGCACCGGCCAGCCTGAACCCAGGCGTGCGCCAACAGGTGAGGTGTGATGACGGAGAGTCCGGAGGGTCATACTAACGTGGGCCGTGAGGCAGAGAGATTACAGCGAATATGCTGTCGCAGGCTGCAGGGCGAGCAGAACAAACGGGTCAGAGGAGCAGAACCAGCCCGGTTCCGCTCTGGAAAAACTGGTGGATGTGCTTGATGTCAGTTACGGTCTGCAAGCTTGTCAAAGTCAAATTTATGTCTCACAACAGATATTGGCCTCAAATACGAGCTTAAGGGGGTGGAGCTTTTATCAGGGGGTGGAGCTACAATATGTGGGATTAATCTATGGGCCAGTTTTGGTGCAGTGAGGATCAGTGGGCGTGGCTAATGTCTGTGAGCACAGCTGGAGATCAGGCCTTACTTGAGTGGAAGGGGCTGCTTGGACCCTGAGGCGAGTCGAACACGCTGCCAACATCTGTGGAGCTGGACGCGGCGGAGGCTGGGGGCGGAGTCAGTGGCGTGCGGGGAGAGTTGGGAGCAGAAATGACGCCGCCTTCGGACTCGCTGTCGGTGACCCGGTTGTAGCTGATCTTCCTGGGCTCGTTCTGCAGTGGGGTAGGATGTCTCATGGTGCCGACCCTTGTGGACGTGGGTCTGATCCCCGGGACTTGAGAGGACAGGTGTACCGCTTCACCTGGACCAGGAATGAGAACATGTCCTCAGTGACGGCATAGTTACTTTGAAAAAGCAAACTGTAATCAGATTACTGATTACTTGATTTGGAAAGTCATGAAGTTACATTAAAAGTAACTTTTTGAGTTACTTTCAGCAGCTGCTAACAACAACAATGCTGTGAAAATGATATGATGTCAGACCAACAAGGTGTCTCCAGTTCTAACGTTGAACTGAAGAGGAGAGTTTTACCAGAAAATCGTGTTTTTGTTGGATTCTGATCAGTAACTGGATCTGAAATAGCAAGGCCTCAGACGACCGGGTCCTGAAACAGCGGTCCGACGTCAGTAACGCCGCTGCAGGTCATGGAGCAAATGAACATGTGACGGCAGTTACTATGGCAACTTACAAAACGAGGCAACGAGCGCGTGTTTCGAGGTTCGATCTCCAAGGACTTGTTGAAGAGATGATCAGC